TTACACCCAATAAAAAGCATTTAAAAATTGCGAGAGAAATTGCTTGTTTCAAATTTTCTATTAGTTTAGATTAAAATATTTTTCTAAAGTAGTACATTTCCTTACAGGATAGGAAAAGCTTAACATATACAGTCCTGACAGCATCAATTAGCTTATAATTATTTGCAACGTTAATATGCTTGATAATAGATAAATTTTTAAAATAATCTCAATTTCAAAATAAAAATATGTATAATTCTAATTTGTGAATGAGGCGCTACAACCACTTTTTTTGGCATTAATACTCTGCAATAAAAACCATGTTAAATTTCTGCAAGTCGTCCCGTCTCCTCCGGGATGTGATCAAGTGAAGCCAGCACGCATCAGACGGGCAGAAAACCCTTTGGGTTAGTCTATTTCTTATAGGGTCCATGACTAGAACAGGTATCTTTTGCTACACCAGCATATAGCTTGACATCGCTCCTTCGGCCTTCTGCCTTTTTAATACCTGCCAGCTACATCTTGCTGGTGCTATCTTCCATTCTGCCCAAGACGTCCGAAATGAGGTTGATCTGTTTTTGGACTCTCAGCCTCCATGTTTCTGGGCCAAAATCTTTGAAAAACTACCAAAACGTTGGTAGAAAATCATAGAATTTTGTGATGAATACTAGCGGCACTAAAGGTACTGTTTTCAAGTTTTTTTTTTTTTTTTTTCTAACTTTATTAAGAACAACCTTTTGGCGGTAAACTTTCTTTACAACCAGATATATAACCTACTGAAATAAGCAGTAAATAAAACTTGCATATCAAATGAAACTATCGATTTTCATTAATAACTGTGGATTACAACGCGATTGCCAAAGAAAGATTTCAGCTTAATGTAAGAAATTGCTTCAACTGCAAAATGCTGGTTAAATTTTTTAAAAAAACTGGCAATATAAAAAAAAGTTTCATATTTCAAAATGATATATAAAAGGGGATGTTGTTTATCTTCAGACCAATGCAGCAATTACTTTAATGAATGAAAATTGCTTGTAATAAATTAACAAATTATTTATTTTAGTATTTGATTTTAAATGATGTTCAGTTTGCTTTATTTAATTTTTCCATGCAATGAAGAGGTTTCAAAATAATTTAAAAATTAATTACAGATGGATTTCAAACTAGTGAAATGGAGTATTTTTATGTCCTTCCTTCTAATAAGACAGTTCATGTGGGTGAAGTAGCTACATTTGAATGCAAATTTAATGGCTCACATGATACTGTGGAATGGGTGAAGTACTATGAAGTGAATGGATTCTCACTGAATGAGTTTGGTGTACCATACATGAAACGAGTCCAGGTATAAATGTTATTTTACGAGAAAATTTATTTAGTTTTTTTTTTTTTAATACAAAATGCGTAAAAGAAAGTAATGTGCTTTATTATTTTTCAGTTTATGAAAATGTATTTGAAAATAGATTTTAATCCAATTGCAGCAACTTTTTTTAGAAGACAGTCTGAGTGGTAAAATAAAAATGTAGATTTTTCAAGCAGTAATGATTTTCATATGAATTTTGAAACTACACTTTTAATTTGAAATTTAAATATATTTTAGTAATAGAAATTGGTAAAACATATTTTGGTGTTTCATAGACAACTTTTGGCTTGTAACATCATTTTCAGCTTATGTGTGTATCACATATGCTATTAATTATATTCAAATAAAAGCCCTTTCAGGCTGTTAATATTTATTATAATATTTCATATTGTAATTTTAACTAAATAATTACTGAAATATAACCACTGAAATTCATAGCTGAATATCAGTGTTCTGTTTAGTGTCATGTATGCTTTGCATCACATTTGGCTGCAACAAAATGATTTATTTTTGGACGAAATAATTTGTTAAAATGAGTATCGAAATTATTTAATAATTATATTGAGGTGAAATAAAATGTTTGCTAAGGTTTCACATGCTCATATATAAATGTACTGTGAATCTCCTCACAATTGGCATTTCTGATAGCATTAATGAAAATTACTGTCACAGACGTCCAAAAAGATATAAAACTATAAAGGGTGTCTTTGAGAGAGATCACTGTAAGTTTTGCTAATGAGTTTTTTATTAAAACCATAGTTAACTTTGTGGAAACAATGCCTACTTACGTACACATATTTTCAAATATATTTTGATTTTCTGATTGTTTCTGAAATCCAGTGGCAGTGTTTTAGATGGAATTTGACTTTTATTCTTTCAGTACAGAAGCATTAATCATATCAAGGCAAGTCACCTGACTCTTCAGAATGTCACTTTTGACGATGCTGGAAAATATGCGTGTGTTGTTTCCAATAAGTTTGGAAACTGTCGGCAATATACTTGGCTCACCGTTCTACCAAGTAAATTGTTTTTGTTTTCCTTTAATCTTTACATTCATTAAATATCTTACAAAATTTTAATGGTTATATTGGTTGATAGCGTAAGTTTCCTTCAATATTTAAAGCTTTTTATTACACAGTGTACTCATATATATGTAAATGCATACATTGCTTAGCTCGCTTCATGTACTGCAATAAGTAGTATTTAAAATTTGCAAAAATTTCTCTTAAATTGGTATTAATTTTAAAAGTTACTCTGCATTTGAAGGGTCAGTATAATGTTAGTCTCCCTTATCTAAGTATCGTGGTATGATAACAATGCGGGTATCTGCAAATCAATAAAGATTTAAAACTTATTAAGATTTAAAACAATGCATTTTCCCCTGCAAGCCCGTATTCAGCACAACTGTGTAATACATGTGATACTTGAAAAAAGAATTCAGAAAGTAGCTGCATGTCACTAAGAGACATGAAGCTTTTAATCCTGATTTGTTTCAGATCAGATTAAAATGCGAAGACATTCTAATGTCGAGATCTTGCAGTTTAGCAGAACTCAGCCATTTATACCATCATGGAATTTCAAATATGTTGACTTAGAGCTACGGAAATTTCCTCCTGCAATGAATTCACTTTATGATCTGTATCAAAAGTATTTGAAAGATATCTTGCACAAAATAGAAAAGCGTCCTGTGAATAAATTTCATAACGAAATGCTTATCTATGTAAAAATTTGCTTTGTTATGGAATTTTATACTAATTATAATTAAATTTATTTTTGATTCATGTAACAGAGAAATAGAGTTGAAATATCTGATGTTTATACGACATGACTTCCTTGTATACGGCCTATTATACACATTTTTTGCTGCATTTCATTTAAACTATTTCCTCGAATTTCATTAGAGATATATTTCTAATTCAATCAATTCAGTTCACTTCGCAGTAAGGCAAAATTTCACTAAGAGACTATAAAAACCCAATCTTCATTAAAAATTTTTAAATGCAGAAAATATAAACCACCAAACGTAGTTAAAAACAGTAAAAAACCAATTTTTACAATTAAAATTAGAGTTTCTACGCAAAAACAAGCGCAATTTGGCCTGCGGGCATGAAGCCAAAATTTTCGATACACAAAATTGAAAGTTAACTTTCTGTCGGCCTTGGCAGAATAACACTGAAGTTGGTGCACCAACTGACTTAATTCACTGTTGTTCTAAGAGTTTCAAATGTAAACAAGTGGCATCTTCGTTAGTCTTAGCGGCAAGTAAACTTTTAAATTGTTGATAACTCTATAACTTTTGCATGCGGATTAACTAAATGAATAAAAACCTTAACCGGAACATAAGAACAACATAATTCAGCCACTTTTAATGCAAAAAACGCAACATATAAGAATGAAAGACAGGTATCAGCGTAGCAATATATATATCTTCGTTGCGACCGATTGTAAATAAAACGGAAGTTGCTCAAATACAGGTAATAGCAGTTCCATATACAAAATTTCAACATTCTACGTCTATTCAATTTTGAGTTATGCGAGATATGTACGTACAGATATCACGACAAAATCTCTTCTGAATCCATTTTACAATCCGTTTTGGAAAAAAGAAAAGAAAAAGAAAAGAGTCCTTTATTCTGTCCGTATGTACAGATGTCATGCAAAAACATCGTTCAAATGGATTTGAGAGCAGTCAGAATGGATATTTTCCTTGACATATGATATTCATAATAATAGACGATAATAGATAAATAATAACAACCGTGTCGAAAAATATTATTAAGAAATAAACAGTTTTTATGTGAGTCACTTTGGCAAAAGTTTACATTGTCATGGGAATAATATGAGAAGTAAATGAAAGATCACGCAATGTGTAAAAATTTCATATTTTTTCCCTTTTAAATATACCAGGTTGAAATTTTTGGAAACGAAAATAGTAAATCTGGGAAAAATTAGTTTGGGTTATTATTAGCGTAGTTAACTTTCTCGCTGCGCATCCCGCGATTTCCACGGGCAACGTAAAAGTAGCAAAATTTGCGCAATTCGCGATTTCCCGCGGGGATAAATTTTTGCCGTGTATTTATTTAACTATGCAAACCGCTCTTTCCTCGTTCAAAGTTTCCTTTCGGCTTTTCTGTGATGTTTAATTGTTTATTTAGATGTGAGCTAATAGATGGCGTTAGTTGCCCACATTTCTGTTAACTACTATATACAAGAATACGTAATTTAGCATTTTGCGCGCGCTTTTCAGAGCTCAAAGATGTCTGGCAGGAAGCGTTTCGCAAGTGATATAACCTATATTCCTGACCAATACCCCCTAAAACTTAGTATGTATCCAGGTGGTGCTGTTTCCGACACTGATAGTAGTTCTGACTCTGATTTCAAGTATATTGAAAATAGTTATAGCGAAACTGATGAGAATTTCTCGGATTCCTTTGCAGATAGTGCTGAACCTAAAAATTCAGTTTCTATTGAAAACGTTCGACAGTGGTGCAAAATATTACATTATGCGAATATTTTCATTAGTATATATATTTTACCTTTGTATTTTATAAATTAAATCATAATTTAACCAATATTAATTTTCATAATTTTCATTTTTTATATCACTATTCTTCAATTTCAGTACTCTGACAACCTTTTTCTATGATTTAATTCTATATCGAAAAAAAAAAAAAAAAAAAGGAAAAAAAAAAAAACTTTTTTACATTTTAACTCTAAAATATATGTAGACTTGAAATACGTAATAAAAGAATAAGCAATTTTTGAACCTATTTTGATTCAAAAAAAAAGTACGCAGTGAAAGGGTTTTAAACAGCAGGAACTTTAAATATGATAAGGAGAAAATTATTTTCTGCTGAACTGCTTCGTAATTGGGTATATTTAGCAAATTGTACTTAAACTGAAATTCTATGCCATCTACAAAAAATATTAAAATGTTGTTGTTAATACTTAAAATTAAAAACCAGTAAAATTTCACAAATATAAAACAGCAATTAAGAGTCTCAATTTATTTCACCAAAAGAAAGCGGTTTAATACCACGTAGGACACAAACTATGCTAAAAAACTGTCAATATATATGCAATCACAACAACTTACCCTACAATGACAGACGAATTGTACCATCTTAAATAAAGAGTAATATAAATTAGTGCTAATTTCAAAATGAGAGTGCTAGATGTATTTTTTTCAATGAAAAGAAAGGAGGAAAAAAGAGTACAAAGTTTATAATACTTCAAAATTCCCTTACAAAGTTTATAATACTTCAAAATTGAGAGTATACTCGTAATATAAGAAAAAAAGCAAATTTGCCATAAAAGCAGTTTTTTCTCCAACTGAAATTCTTGTATGTCAACTTTCAAACATCTGCTGGCTAGGGAACTGCACCTCAGCTAATGGCAATCTAGTTGTAAATATTACAGTTTTAGTAAATAATAATGTTTCCATTTTACTCTTTATCCATAACTGTACATCCATCAATCAGCCAACGGATATCGGAATTTTGCTTGCATTGTAATGAAGATGGAAAGATATGTAAAGGGTGTTCCAAAATTAACGCAAGATTTGAATTAAATAAAAAAAACACAGTTTTTTCCCTTAAAATTGTTATTTTTTTATTGAATCATAAAGTGCACAAGATAGGGTTATGTATGGAATAACACATCGGCAAATGGACTCTATGGCTTTACTGTCACATACGCACTCTTTTGTCGAAATTTTCCATGACCATTTTGCATAAATGTGGCTGGATTTCGTTGATGCAGCGTTGAATTTTCTTCTCCAGTGCACGCGTGCTTGTGGGCTTGTTGGCATAGACCTTTGACTTTCAAATAAAAAGAGATCAAATGGTGTTAAATCATATGATCTAAGGGGCCATCTCATCACCGAAACTAGAGAGTACACAGCCAGGAAATGTCTCATGCAGCAATTGCATTGTTTCACGGGTTGTATGGCATGTGGCACCGTCTTGGTTGAAACCATATGACGTACGCATCAATATCATTCAATTTAAGCAGAAAGAACTGTGTTATGTCCCGATATCGAGCGCCAGTAACATTCACTGTTTGACCAGCTTTGGTCCAATGATGCCTCCAGCCCAAATTCCGCACCAAGCAGTGACACATTGAGCATGCATTTGTTTTTTGACAACCACATGTGGGTTCTCTGAATCTTAAATGCAGCAATTGTGACGATTAACAAAGCCATCATGGTAAAAATGGGATTCATTGAAATTTTCGATCTGTGGCCCTCAGACTTCCACTATTTTTGAAATATTTTTCAACAATGAAAACATGTTGTTCTATCGTGTAATGCTTCTTTTCTACTAACCCTAAACTATCAGCTGTCAAATGCTTTTTTAATGGGGTTGCCAACACTTTACTGCACGAATAGTGGCAAATTCAAATCTTGCGTTAATTTTAGAACACCATTTACATACAGACTTTTAAAAGCTAATACAGTGGTAAGATCTTTTTGAAAAAAAATGCAGCAGTAAGACCATCCAAGAATTCTAGAAATATTTTAATATAAAATCTGACATGAGAGATTTTGGAGAATCACGACATGGCATGTCTGCAAATGTTTTAAAATGAATGTTTGGCATAATTTATTAGCTGGCTAATAAATTTCATGATGGATGATAAGGACCACGAATCTGAAAGTTTTCAGATATCGTGATAAAAAGCAAAATTGGAATTTGAGATGAAAAGCTAAACAAAGGTGATGATATAGCAGAAGTCTTACATTGCAATGACAATACCTGAATCATCAATGATTACTGGAATGGCGAATGGTTTTAAATCTAGAAAATATCGCCATTTCAATTTCTTGGCATATCACCATTTAGACTTTGATTCCATGTAGTGATGATTCAGAAAAAAATGAAGTAAAATGTTTCTTTCATTAAGAAATATTAATAAAGAATATTTGTAATTTTATTATTTCTATATGTCATCATATTAGTTTTAGACTGATGATCTAAAATGACGGAAATTTCTAAAATCCTTAATCACTGAAGTCCTG